CATGACACTGCACACACAGAATGATAACACCAGATCATGACACTGCACACACAGAATGATAACACCAGATCATGACACTGCACACATAGAATGATAACACCAGATCACGACACTGCACACAGAGAATGATAACACCAGATCATGACACTGCACACACAAAATATTGTGAGGAAAAAAATGACAACAAAGTTATGAGCTATTAACATCTTTTTCATGTTTAGTGTAGTGGTTGCCTAAGGTTTTAGTAGTGTTGAGGCTTAGTAGAGTGGGATTTCAGTGATGGCTGCAGTGTGAAGGTTCAGTAGTGGTTAATAATGAGGAGGTTCAGTAGAGAGGGGTAATGGTGAAGGTTGTAGTGTGGAGGTTTAGTAGTGGTTAACATTGAGGAGGTTCAGTAGAGTGAGCATTCAGTGATGGTTGCAGTGTGAAGGTTCAGTATTGGTTAACAGTGTGGAGGTTCAGTAGTGGTTAACAGTGTGGAGGTTCAGTAGTGGTTTTTAGTGTGGAGGTTCAGTAGTAATTAGTAGTGTGGAAGTTTAGTATAAGTAAGCAGTGCGAAGGTTCAGTAGTGTGGAGGTTCAGTGGTGGTTAAAAATCATAACTGTAGAGATTCAGTAGTGGTTAGTAGTATGTAGGTTTAGTGTGAAGGTTCAATAATGATTAGCAGTGTGCAGGTTTAGTTTGGATGTTCAGTAGTAGTTAGCAGTATGGATGTTCAGTAGTAGCTAGCAGTGTGGAGGTTCAGTAGTAGTTAGTAGTGTGGAGGTTCAGCAGTAGTTAGTAGTGTGGAGGTTCAGCAGTAGTTAGTAGTGTGGAGGTTCAGCAGTAGTTAGTAGTGTGGAGGTTCAGCAGTAGTTAGTAGTGTGGAGGTTCAGCAGTAGTTAGTAGTGTGGATGTTCAGCAGTAGTTAGTAGTGTGGAGGTTCAGTAGTAGTTAGTAGTGTGGAGGTTCAGTAGTAGTTAGTAGTGTGGAGGTTCAGTAGTAGTTAGTAGTGTGGAGGTTCAGCGGTAGTTAGTAGTGTGGAGGTTCAGCGGTAGTTAGTAGTGTGGAGGTTCAGCGGTAGTTAGTAGTGTGGAGGTTCAGCAGTAGTTAGTAGTGTGGATGTTCAGCAGTAGTTAGTAGTGTGGATGTTCAGTAGTAGTTAGTAGTGTGGAGGTTCAGCAGTAGTTAGTAGTGTGGAGGTTCAGCAGTAGTTAGTAGTGTGGAGGTTCAGTAGTAGTTAGTAGTGTGGAGGTTCAGTAGTAGTTAGTAGTGTGGAGGTTCAGCAGTAGTTAGTAGTGTGGAGGTTCAGCAGTAGTTAGTAGTGTGGAGGTTCAGTAGTAGTTAGTAGTGTGGAGGTTCAGTAGTAGTTAGTAGTGTGGAGGTTCAGCAGTAGTTAGTAGTGTGGAGGTTCAGCAGTAGTTAGTAGTGTGGAGGTTCAGCAGTAGTTAGTAGTGTGGAGGTTCAGCAGTAGTTAGTAGTGTGGAGGTTCAGTAGTAGTTAGTAGTGTGGATGTTCAGTAGTAGTTAGTAGTGTGGAGGTTCAGTAGTAGTTAGTAGTGTGGAGGTTCAGTAGTAGTTAGTAGTGTGGAGGTTCAGTAGTAGTTAGTAGTGTGGAGGTTCAGCAGTAGTTAGTAGTGTGGAGGTTCAGCAGTAGTTAGTAGTGTGGAGGTTCAGCAGTAGTTAGTAGTGTGGAGGTTCAGCAGTAGTTAGTAGTGTGGAGGTTCAGCAGTAGTTAGTAGTGTGGAGGTTCAGCAGTAGTTAGTAGTGTGGATGTTCAGTAGTAGTTAGTAGTGTGGAGGTTCAGCAGTAGTTAGTAGTGTGGAGGTTCAGCAGTAGTTAGTAGTGTGGAGGTTCAGCAGTAGTTAGTAGTGTGGAGGTTCAGTAGTAGTTAGTAGTGTGGAGGTTCAGTAGTAGTTAGTAGTGTGGAGGTTCAGCAGTAGTTAGTAGTGTGGAGGTTCAGCAGTAGTTAGTAGTGTGGAGGTTCAGCAGTAGTTAGTAGTGTGGAGGTTCAGCAGTAGTTAGCAGTGTGGAGGTTCAGTAGTAGTTAGTAGTGTGGAGGTTCAGTAGTAGTTAGTAGTGTGGAGGTTCAGTAGTAGTTAGTAGTGTAGAGGTTCAGCAGTAGTTAGTAGTGTGGAGGTTCAGCAGTAGTTAGTAGTGTGGAGGTTCAGCAGTAGTTAGTAGTGTGGAGGTTCAGCAGTAGTTAGTAGTGTGGAGGTTCAGCAGTAGTTAGTAGTGTGGATGTTCAGCAGTAGTTAGCAGTGTGGAGGTTCAGTAGTAGTTAGTAGTGTGGAGGTTCAGTAGTAGTTAGTAGTGTGGAGGTTCAGTAGTAGTTAGTAGTGTAGAGGTTCAGCAGTAGTTAGTAGTGTGGATGTTCAGTAGTAGTTAGCAGTATGGAGGTTCAGTAGTAGTTAGTAGTGTGGAGGTTCAGCAGTAGTTAGTAGTGTGGATGTTCAGTAGTAGTTAGCAGTATGGAGGTTCAGTAGTAGTTAGTAGTGTGGAGGTTCAGTAGTAGCTAGTAGTGTGGAGGTTCAGCAGTAGTTAGTAGAAGCTGACATTACTTTATAAAACTAATGTAGGAAAATATTCCAAAGGTTTTATGGGAACTTTGTAAGAATTAAATGGGACCAGGAAGGCAACTGGTCTCTTGACCACATTAAGTTTGGATGGAACACTTTACATCATTACAACAGAGCCAGAAACAGGTTCCCTTTTAGCAACATCCTAGGGGTTAAAAAGGAATTCTCACTAGGTGGGCAAACTTTTTGATTTGCTGTCTTTTATGTAAATCAGAAATGGCTCTGTGATGGCCTTTTCTCTAATGACCTGATTCTGGTCACTCATGCAGCCCTTCAAGGACATCTCATTTCCATGGTTACTATTTTTTCCCCCCTGATTTGTGTGACCATTTCTGGCACTTGTAGCAAAGATTGGGAATGAATATACTTAGTCTCAATAACTGTGTGATGAAAAGTTTCCAGAACTTTGGAAATTATCTGGAGGGCCAGCTGGTGAGAAAGGCAGCTTGTCATTCTTTTCTATCATATTATGATCTGACCCAACATATATGAAGACCGGATACCGCACACTAGTATGATAGTTATCTGCCATATTTCAACTAATATTCACAGAGTTAAGCTGGCTAACTGCTGACCATGGATATAATTTAGACTTAATTTATCACTATCTTTAGAAGGTTTAGCTATATAATTTTTCCTAAATTTTAAAATTTCAGACAAAAAGAAAGCAAAGGACCCTTTTCCAGGCCACTTGGTGCACTGATTATATAGTGCTAGACTTATATTTTATAGATCAAATGGCACTCGATGGATGATGTGGTCATCAAGCTATACCCCTTTACTTCCCAGGACTTTTCCTGATACCCATTTCAGACTGTGTCAACCTGGGCTACGAGGCTATTTTTAGGGGGAAAAAATCGATCTCAATGAGGAATTGAACCCGCAGCCTTTGTGTCCGCAGATGTGTGTCTAGCTGCTACTACACTATGGTAGGTTCCACACAACAGGAAATCAACTCATACAAGTAAGTAACAGACCCTTTAAACAACAATGCCGCAACCAGTGGATGATGTTAGACACATTTTTAGACCAGCTGGTACTTAACGTAGTCAACATTATGTCAGCCACCTTTGCCCAGGACTTTTCATGGAGCTAATTTTAGGTGGGGTCCACCTCAGAGTGTGAACCAGTGTCTTTAATGTTTGCCAGCAAAACTGACAGTCTTGGGTTCAAATCTGCATATATTTATAAAATGACCTTGGCTCTCCAAACCTAAACAAGGTTCCAAGTAATGTCCTCAGAAGTAAAGGTTAACACGCTGCTGAACGCACTGCAACTCAAGTGCTCTCTGGACTAAAGGTAAATGGGCGCCCATGTCTATATGCCATGGTGTAGTGGCTACAAGCTCACCTGTGGATCTAAAGGTCGTGGGTTCAAATCCCCAGTAAGCGGAACTTTAAAAATAAAATGACTCAGGTCAACCAGGGTATTAACTGCGTACCAGGTAAAGTATTGGAAGTAAAGGGCGCTGGCGTGATTCTGACGATTATCAGCCACTGAGTGACGACTTGCTTAATTAATAAAGGTCTATATATCCAATACACCTATAGGCATGAAAAATATCATTTACTTCACTGAAACCAGTGAACCATAGCTGTAAAAAAGCAACTATAATTTATAAGTGTATATAAGCACTTTCAGGGTGCCGCAGCAGCATTGCGGCTAGAAAGGCACCTGCAGGCCCAAATTCAAATTCACATGATGGATTTTTCGGGGGATAAAAACTGACCTTGACTTCCAGGTTGATCCAGCCTACAATGGGTGTGTGGCAATGTCCTGGAAAGTAAAGGCAGTCCATATGATGCTGACCACACCACCCACTGAGCAGTGATTGACCGATAAATTATGAGTCTAGCATCATATGTCCAACTGGCCAATGGTGTTAAAAGGGTCCTTTACTTTACGTACAACCTGTGAGCCATAGTCAGTTTAAAAACAAAAAACAAAAAATATATTTACAAATTTATGTAAGGGTTTGAGGATAGCAAAGAAAACTACCAAACAGCATCAAGCCTTAAATAATAAGCCTTCTACAGGTACTGATATTGTTTGTAAAACACTGCTAAAGAAAATAAAGAAGCAAAAGAACATGAAATGCTAGAGTGAGGAATCTTGCAAAGAAAACTATTTGTAAAACTGGGCTATGCTAAGCTCCGTAGGGAGCTACAATGAGGAAAGAACAAAGAGAATTCAAAAGTGAAATGTATTCATCAAAAAGTATACTCATCTACTTATCCCCACTTTACGAAACAAAATAATACCAAATGTGCAATGCTAAGTCTTTCTGTCAGTGACACTACAATAAAAAATATAAAAACTGTGCACTTAATAATAAAATGAAAACAAATATGTTTTCTTTTATATAAAATAAGTGAATAAGAAATATGTGCAGGAATATTTAAAAAAAACTGTCAAGTTGAAGTTTTTGGAGGGAGTAACTCACCGATGAAAACGCCTATTTAGCCGAGGGATGAGAAAGCACAACAGCACTATATTAATGTGAATTCATGCACAGTTACAGCGCAACACATGAACACACGAAGCTTCCTACATAATTACATTATCCTAGGCTAAATACTCAAAGGCTTTAGTAGAAATACTCTTGACATATCTTCATGTAGCACCTGAACTGATCAAGGGATATGTTGGAGGAAATATTTACAGTACTGTTAATAAAGAAAAAAACTGTGCCAGGAAATAATCAATTCTTCACTTATAAACCATTTCAATTCCCTCTAACAAGAAACACCAAACCTGAGCATTTTGAAAGAAACAAATTGCACCATAAATTCCACAGCTGGCTGGACAGGCAATGACAGTGTCCATTTACACGGTTCGTGAACCACTGAACAAATGCGACTGTAGGTTGGTGTACAGTGAGCTAAAATGGTACTGAATGATGCAAGCAATGAAGGATGCCGCTATGGCAAACCTTTTTTTTTTAAAGCAGTCAATCAGAGGTTGATTTTAGAAAAGCCCTAAAAACACTTATCATCTGGAAAGACTTAAATGAGTCACACAAAAATAAAAAAAATAAAAATTGGTTAGCACCATATGCCTGATGAGCCAGTGTCATGAAAAGGGTCCTTTACCTACTTACCTACAAACAAATGGGCTTTAAAAAAACTAGATGTAATAACTCTATCTGACAGGAAGATAGCCCATCAATACAGGTACAGTGAAATATACAAGGCTCACATCTGTACAATGAAACACAGGAAAGGACAACACCACTGCCACCAACCACCAGCACAAAACAACAGACTTCACACAATACAACCTCACAACAAGTGACCAAACTACAAAGGCTGAAATGTTAACTCTTTTAGTCAAAGATACCTGTTACTTTAAATCACCTCATTCACAGTTCAGGCATTCTTAGCCCAACAGGTATTAATGTTCAGCATGCCCATATCTAAATATCATCATCAACATTTTAATTAATATTATATAATTATTTTTTCTCCCCCACCTTTGTATATGATTATTATTTCTATTACCATTGTTATTATCATTTTCTCTTTATTGTTAATATTTTTGGAAGCCGCCATGGCGCAGCGGCTAGACATTGCCTACGGATCAGAAGGTCTTAGGTTCAAATCTGAACAGAGCCTGATTTTTCCCCCTTCAAAAATGACTTTGGCACCCAGGTCAACTCAGCCTTGAGTGGGTACCAGGTGAAGTCCTGGGAAGTAAAGGTGGCTGGTGTGATGCTGACCACATCACCCACTGAGTGCCGATTGGTCTATAAAATATAGGTCTGGCACTACATGCCCAAAAGGCAAGAGGGTGTGGAAAAAGATCCTTGGTGGTGACAAATATTATTACCATTGTTATTACTATTTTCATTCTGGATTTATGTTTTATTTCGCACATTTATGCCTATTCTTCTATTTTATATTCCTTTATAATTATTCACTATCGAGCGAAACTGGTGTCCACGATTTCTCATTTTCTTGTTAAGCCTCTCATCAATAAAGGTCACAACCGAAACATGAGATTGTTAATTAAATTCAGATGTTACTTTACTTCGTAATATTTTGTTCTTATTTTAACTTGTTATACCCTAAGAAGCTACTGTTATTTTAAGTCCTCCAATCTAGGTTCCAGGACCATATTATAAAAAGTTAGGTTCTAAAAGGCTACAAATAAGGGGTTTGCTGAAATTTGATGCGTTAAGCTGAAAGGTGTAAATAACATAGCATCGCTGTAACAGCTCTTTAAAGAGTTAACACAGGTGGAGAAGGAAAAGTTTCTTAAAGTGATCAATGTCTGGGACTGAGAAATTAAGACACAAATATTATTGTTAAACAGACAGGGGGAATAAAGTGAAAATAGGGCAGTGTGAGTTGGTGTAACAACCGGATGGGAGCATAAACAATTTAAAAAAAAATTTGGATCCTGGCAGTAGTAACCAACAATAATAAAATAAAAGCAGTCTCAGAAAGTGTTCAGCTGGGGTAGGGAGACATCTTTGGAGATAAGTTACATAGGAGCTCACTCATTTCTAACCTAGACGTGACAGAATGCACCAATAATACAGTACAAGAATCTGTGGTGTTTTTAGCCCATAAGGCATAGACCTACATGTTTACAGAAAAATCAATACTCGATGGGTGATGTGGTGATCAAATGGGTCAGCTAACCAAGCAGACTGTGCTCCAGTGAATCTCAGGCCAGTGCAACATGAAGGGAAATGAAAGGCAGACTACTGCAACATGAAGGGATGTGAAAGGCAGACCAATGCAACATGAAGGGAAGTGAAAGGCAGACTACTGCAACATGAAGGGAAATGAAAGGCAGACTACTGCAACATGAAGGGAAATGAAAGGCAGACTACTGCAACATGAAGGGAGATGAAAGGCAGACTACTGCAACATGAAGGGAAATGAAAGGCAGACTACTGCAACATGAAGGGAGATGAAAGGCAGACTACTGCAACATGAAGGGAGATGAAAGGCAGACTACTGCAACATGAAGGGAAATGAAAGGCAGACTACTGCAACATGAAGGGAAATGAAAGGCAGACTACTGCAACATGAAGGGAAATGAAAGGCAGACTACTGCAACATGAAGGGAAATGAAAGGCAGACTATTGCAACATGAAGGGAAATGAAAGGCAGACTACTGCAACATGAAGGGAAATGAAAGGCAGACTATTGCAACATGAAGGGAAATGAAAGGCAAACTACTGCAACATAAAGGGAAATGAAAGGCAGACTACTGCAACATGAAGGGAAATGAAAGGCAGACTATTGCAACATGAAGGGAAATGAAAGGCAGACTAGTGCAACATGAAGGTAAATGAAAGGCAGACTACTGCAACATGAAGGTAAATGAAAGGCAGACTACTGCAACATGAAGGTAAATGAAAGGCAGACTATTGCAACATGAAGGGAAATGAAAGGCAGACTAGTGCAACATGAAGGTAAATGAAAGGCAGACTACTGCAACATGAAGGGAAATGAAAGGCAGACTACTGCAACATGAAGGGAAATGAAACGTAGACTACTGCAACATGAAGGGAAATGAAAGGCAGACTACTGCAACATGAAGGGAAATGAAAGGCAGACTACTGCAACATGAAGGGAAATGAAACGTAGACTACTGCAACATGAAGGGAAATGAAAGGCAGACTACTGCAACATGAAGGGATATGAAAGGCAGACTACTGCAACATGAAGGGAAATGAAAGGCAGACTACTGCAAAATGAAGGGAAATGAAAGGCAGACAACTCAGCAAAAATGTGAAGTCATACAGAACAGAACAGCCAGATACACGATTAACTAATGAGGAAAATAAAACTTGATCAAGGCAGCCATGAGAACCCACTGGGACACTTCCCATCTAGGAGACAATCCTGAAGATGCATCAACCTACTCACATGAAAGAAACAGACAATTATATTTAGACCACATTTGGACACAACAGACTGCAGCCATATGTAAAGAAAATTCAAGATTGGGGTTTCAGAACTTTGACTATGTTGAGAGGCACCACATAATACTGAATATGTGCTGCAGACATGTTCTATGCAGCAGAGAGATCCAAGGTTTGACGGGTTGGCATTCAAATGGCGACAGAGCTGTATGGAACATTGAAAGATGTGTGTTGCACCACAGACTTCACAGAGGCCGGTATCCTTCACATCTGAAAACTATTGGCAGGGAGAATGGAAAACAGATGAAGGTGATGTGGTGAGCATCAGAAGGCCACTTGAACCTTTCTGACCTTTCCCTGTGCTCATTTTAGGCTGAGGGGCCAAGGTCATCTTATAAATGTTGACATGAAATAAATGTGACTACCAGATCTTTGGATCAGCAAGCAAGTGTCAGCCCCAGTACTACCATGGTTCTGCATCACTAGGCAAGGGTTAGGAGAATACAGTCTACATGCTTCAAATGGGAAAACATTAACCTACAACAGGGATATACTATCAACACTGACACTGTATAATTTTTGTAATCAATTACAACACACCCATATTTGGTGGGCAATAAACAAAATTCCAGCCTTGCAAACACAAGTATATCTTTCATAATTGCAGCAGTCATGCATATAAATATGAATGATCCCTGATGCAAGAAATGACAAAAATATGATGGGAGAAAGAATATATACATTTCACTATGAACTGAACAAAATAATTATTTTATGATGCCCATATGTTTACAGTGAATTAAATGGCTTTACCAAAACTGCCACAAAATAATATGATGAAACAAAAAATAAAAGACTGTTAAAGTGTTTAAATTTTGGTAACTGAGAAATGTAAGCAATGAATAAACACAGCAAAGCTATTACCCTGCTTATTACTGGTCACAAACATGAACCAAACGATAGATTTACAATTGTGATAAACTTTCAAGGAGTTCATCAACATCATCAAAATAGTCCCATAACATTGTGTACCACTGGGTCACCAGTTGCTGGTTCTCTTATCAGAACTAAACAACTCACTATGCATGCAATGGAAAACCCTAGCATAATATACATTTCTGAGCTTCTTTGCCCCATACAGTTGCCACCTTGAACCATCTTATCCCAATTGTAACTTCAGTTTCTTTTGTCTTGAAGTATTATCATATAAATCTCTTCAAATCAAAGCAGCTATTACTGTAACAACTGCTTACGAACAGAAGTTAAAGAAACACATGCCTGGGCAGAAAGAGTTACAGTCTTTATATTTTACATTTAAACAACACTTTTTCTTCTCCTTCTTCTTCATCTTTATCTCCAGACTTTAAATCCAGAGAGGCATTCGAAAGTTGCATTTAAAAGCACTTATGGACTAGCAGAGATGAGGCCTAGCTTAGTAATGTTTGCCTTACAAGTTGTAGGTGTTTCACCATCAACAGACTCCAGTGCTCAACACAGGAAGACCTGTTTTTTTTGTAAAACAAACTTTTTGTAAAACAAACGCCTGTTTCCATTGGTCAATGTATCAAAAGCACTCTAATTTAATATTTCCTATTGTCAATGTGCCAGAAGTACTCTAATTTAATATTTCCTATTGTCAATGTGCCAGAAGTACTCTAATTTAATATTTCCTATTGTCAATGTGTCAGAAGTACTCTAATTTAACATTTCCTACTGTCAATGTGCCAGAAGCACTCTAATTTAAAATTTCCTATTGTCAATGTGACAAAATCCCTCTAATTTAACGTTTCCTACAATGTGCCAGAAACACTCTAATTTAACATTTCCTAAGGTCAATGTACCAGCAGTGCTCTAACAATTCCTATGGTCAATGTGCCGTAAGCCCTCCAAATTAATATTTCCTACTGTCAATGTGCCAGAAGCCCTCTAATTTAACATTTCCTATATTCAATGTTCCATTCAATATCAGTGGCACTATAACATTTCCTACAGCCAATTTATCAGCTGCACTCTCATTTTACATTTCCTATAGCTCAATATGCCAACAGCACTTTAATTTAAGAATTCCTATAGCTCAATCTGCCAACAGCACTCTGAGATTTCCTATAGCTCAATCTGCCAACAGCACTCTGAGATTTCCTATAGCTCAATCTGCCAACAGCACTCTGAGATTTCCTATAGCTCAATATGCCAACAGCACTTTAATTTAAGATTTCCTATAGCTCAATATGCCAACAGCACTTTAATTTAAGATTTCCTATAGCTCAATATGCCAATAGAACTCTAATTTAAGATTTCCTATTTTCAGTATGAAAGAAGCACTCTAACTCAACATTTCGTAATGAAATATATCAGCAGCACTCCTAACTGAACAAAGAAAATGCAGTATAGTACCTCAGCATGATGTTCCTCATTCTGCTGTAGAACCTCAATGCACAGCTCAGCCAGATGCATAATATCATCGAGCTTCTTCTTTGGGGGAACATCCTCACTTAGCAACTCTGAAATTCAGTGCCAATAATGACTATTCAAACACCTGTAACACACACATGTAATCAATGTTTACAGTTTATCACGTTAACACAGTGAATAAAATAAACCCAGGCAACTCCATGGTACAGCGTTCAAGCCCAAGCCAATTAAATTTTAGCCGGGAAAACAACAGCATTTGTTTTTTCTTCTTAAATTGGTGCTCTCTTAGTAAAACAAAAATAAGTAAAGGATTCTCCTCACGACAGAGGCACAGGGGACATATTATGCTAGAATCATAATTGTATAGACCAATCAGCCTTTGATGGGTGATGTGTTCAACATCATGCTGGCTGCCTTTACTTCCCAGGACTTTATCAGGTACCTATTTCAGACTGGGTCAACCTAGCAGCCAAGGTCATTTTAAGTCTGAGTAAAACAAATCTGACTCCATAAGGATTTGAACCCAAGACCTTCAAGCCAGCAGATGGAGTTCTAGCTGCTTCATCACTGTGGCTCCCACTGTGTTAGTTCTTTCTGGGTTTTTTATCAATAATTTTAAATAATGATGATATCAGAATTATAATAACTTGAAATTAAATCTATATCAGTAATAATAAATGATGTAAATAAATCTTTTTTTCTCTCCAAAACAGAGCCTGGTAATACACTCGGGGAATAAATAAATCTGCAAGGTAGACCTTTTGGGCAAGATGTAATTATTATAATGTTCTTGCAATGAGTTATCATAAGAACTTTCTTACAAGAGTAATGTTTTATCCCCTTTTTTGCAACTTTATTGCAAAATGTTAGCTGTAAGTGTCTTGAATGAGGTTATCACACTTTTCCTGCAAGAGGTACTAAGAACTTCTAACAAGATATTATTATGTGCAACTCCTTTGCAAGATCTTATTATGAGTAACTCCTTGCAAGATCTTTCTGTGCAACTTTCACGTAAGATGTAATGTGCAAATTTCTTGCTAGAAGTTATTACATGCAACTTTTTAGCAAAATTTTATCTGCAACTTTCTTGCAAGATATTTTTTTTTTAGAACTTCCTTGCAAGATATTTATTATTAACTCAATTTGTACTCAAAAATTTTTATTTTTACTTCAATTTTTTTAACAACATACATGATACTTTATCCTTTCTGTCTTACACCATTACTACATGAAGCCATTCTAACTTTGTTTCTTCAGTCATCTAGTAAAAATCATTTTGCTGATTAAACAAAACTTTATTACATTAAAATAACAATAAGCTGACATAAGAACAGTTAGACTAACAAACTGGGAGACAAAGAACAAGAACATAAACAATCCTGGACCATAATAAAATGATCAACATTAGGCACGAGAACGACATAAACACTAGCTTTAATAAAACAGTGATAAATACTAGATATCATAGCAATATAAACACTTCCTTCCATAAAATAACTATCAACATTAGGCATTAGAATATAAACACTCCCTCAAATAAAATAATAATCAACACTTGGCACTGCAACAATATAAACGCTCCCATAAAATAACGATTAACACTAGGCGCTGAAACAATATAAAATTGCCCTTCTATAAAATAACTAAAAAACACAAAGCATCATGAACATAAACACTCCCTCTCATAAAATAACAAACATGAGGCATTAGAAGAATATACTCTCACATCCATAAAATAACAATCAACACTAGGTATTATAACAACATAAACACTCATATCCATAAAATAAACACTAGGCATAAGAACAACATAAATACTAACTTCCATAAAAATAACCATAAACACTAGGCATAAGAACAACAAAACAACTCCCTTGCATAAGCTAGCAAGAAATAGTAAGACATGACACAATAAAACAACACAACAAAATTAAAACTATAAGGCTGCCATGAAGACTATATTACCACTATCAAGAAATAAACACAACACAAACTATGATCAAGCACTCAACAAAGGGCAAGGAAAAGATGCACACAAATAAATAAGAACACTTTGAACAGTTGGGATAAAAAAATAAATCAACAGGAATCACAAACCACAATACATGTGTTTTATCTGTTGTCCCCACGTTGGATTCTGATGATCTACTTTTAGGGAAAAAAGAACAGACCCACTACCCCTTATCAAACATGTCGCAAAAGGCGACTACTTAAGGGTTTTTCCTTCGAAAGACAGGCAAAGAACCAACAGTAACGCATACGAACAAGCAAGACTGTAGCAACGGATGTGCACACATAACTCAAATTCTGAAACAAGACTAACATACAGAAGTGGGCCACCAATCAAAACTTTCTGCCAGTTTACAGCCAGTCAGGGTTAAGAAAAACATTTGTTGCCAAAGACTTGCACCTTCAGCATTTTTTTAGCACAGGGATACTGGAACCTGGCTGCCCAAGCCCCTTGAATTACCCCCCCCCCCCCCCCCCCCCCACTAGGGCTAAGCCACCCCCCCCCTCCCCCCCCCTTACTCAACATGTATAGAAGTTTCCTACCCCATTATATGTTTCATATTATTTTGAATATAGCATTCTATTTATTTATCATTCAGCAAATTATTATTGTATTTATTACTTTAATGTGCATAAACAAGCTCCCCCCCCTCCCCCCCCCCCTCCCACTCAATGTGTAAGTGGGTTTAGCTCCCATCCTAATTTTTTATTTGTGTCAGTTCCCATTTTAATATGACCTGAATGATGAAGCAGAATTTCTCAGGGCAAAGCAACAACAGTATGATGCAGAAGGAGACACCATCTTTACAGAGAGAGTGTGGACTGGGTTAATTAACTGGTTGAGGCTAGAACAGATTATGAAATGCAAATACTGTCTACAATAAACAAATCGCCCCAAGAGACAGTACTTGGTAGCAAAAGTGTTAAGTCCAAATGTTTGATCATATTTGTTTGTCTTTCCTCCTCCTTCTTTTGCTTAAGGTTCATCAACTGTAAACTCTGGTTCTTCATTCACTTCTAGACCTTGGTTTCATTCTAAAACTTGTTTTTTGCATGCACATCTGTTTTACAGATATGGCTTATTTGTATGCAGACTGTTGATTCCCCACCTCTCTCCAATTCTGAAGAAAAAAAACTTAATTCGTCTACTTTTACAACATCCATGTGGGGGGGGGGGGGGGGGGGGGGGGGGGGCAGTCAATTCTTTTTTTCCCCCCAAAATGGGGCCCCAGAACCCACACTGGGTGTGTCCTTTTGATTGTCTTTTTTTAGATTTCTTGTCCTAGTCTGCGCAGGAATGTGAAGGCTCAAGCCCTTTAAGCCTGATGTCCTCTGAACTGTAGTCATCCCTATTTTCCGGCCAACAGCAAGCTTCGATCTGTAATTACATTACCAGAACACTTAAAAAGCTGTGGTTCAAGTTTTTAATGAACACATGCAATAAAATGAAGCTATACAATTCTGCAGCACAAGAAGTTTCAATAAAAGTTGAAAAAAAAAAAAGTGCAATGTGAGAGAAAAATGGCTGTTTTTCCAAGTAAAGAAATATTCATAAAGATATAAACTTTTCAAACCAAACAGTCCCAGTGTTCGTTCCACAGTTTCAATGGGTGGGGGGGGGTGGGGGGGGGACAAGAACAGAATCACTGTCCTTCTCACAAGCATGTTGTAAATGGTGATTAATTAGGAGTTTGCTAAAATCAGATGTGTTCGGTAGGAAGGCACAATCATCGCAGCCTAGATGTAAACCACAAAACACTGTGCTAACCATCTTTTAAAGGCCAGTATAGAAAAGGAAAAAAAAACAGTAAGTTATGTGTTCCTAAATGAGTACGGAAATGAGATGTCTGAGAAAGGCTTCAGGAGTGATCAGAAAAGATTCAAGATGGGATTTTTTAAATTATGTACGAAGAAAGCAAATCAAATGGTTTGCCCACTTAGAATGCCTTGTGACGCCATACCATACAAGGCATACCTCTAAAAGAAGAAATGGACGAAGAGTATAAGGTAAACCAAGAATGACAAGGAAAGATAACAGCAGTGTAACTTTACAATAGCATGTTCAAGATGGGCAGAAGAGCATGAAACAGAACCTTATATTGACCTCAATACCCGAAGCAGTCAAATAGAAAGTGAAGAAGAAGAAGAAAAATGTTTTCCTGATCATCAAATGTTTTGGTGTCCACCATGCATCTCCATAATGGGGATTTGTAGCAGCTTATATGTGCATCCCATTGTTAAGCAAAACCTCAATCTTGTCCACAGTGCAACTCCAACACCACTTTCTAAAAACCCAAGAGTATTATTTATTTTTTTTGAACCATGAATACTACACGGCGAGGCCTCAATTTCTTCCTTAGCGTGACACTCTTGTACCACTGCCTGCTTTGTGGTGATTTTGACAAGGGTATGAAGTGCTGATCATTCAGGCAGCAATGGCAAACTATTCAGCATAAAACTGCCTTGTCAAACCAAAACCACAAACAGCAAAAAAAATGCTGTGGTTGATTCTACAACATCCTATAAAAAATATGCAGCTAACTTTTTTTTAAAAATCTTTCAATGAAGATTGTAAAGTAAAAAATCTTCAGTTATGCTAGGTCACAAAATTATTAATAGGTGAGGGTTTCACTTCTTTCCGTCAACATTGCCCTACAACTAATGTTACGAGGGGTTGACTCCCAAGCTTTATGTTGAAAAAGGAGAATTTACTCTTTAAATGTGAGATTGAACCTTGGCCATTATGTTAACAGGTTCATGAATTCTTCTCTATTTTATCATATTGTCCCTAGAATATCCCAACCATAATAAATATAACGTCTCTGCCGGAGAATTAGGCAACGTAAAAAACAACAGCAAACAAAAACACATACACACAAGCACGTACGCACACAACCACATGTACGAAAGTGCACATACAACCTAAGTGAACAACCTAAAACTGGTACCAGGGAAGAAATGTGCTGTGAAACAAAGGCGACTGACATAATATAAACCATATCATCCAGATTACAGGTGGGTCTATGAAAACAAAACACAGAGCTTGCATCTATATGTATTAGACTATAACTTCATGA